CATGTAACTCATACATTACACTACATTCTACAGCTTCCCAGTACAACTAGTACAACCAGATTACAGATACCAATCCATCCAATTACACTTACAGTCTGCCATAACACATTCTGGAATTCGAATTTTCGTCGTTAGTAGGATTCAAACTCTGATTGCTGCCACTTAGAGATGTGACAACTTCACCACTTCACTAAGTCACCACACTCTTTGTTTGATTTTTTTAATTATAATACAATTTATTTATTATTATTATTTTTTATACCAGTATAAATAGGATATAATACAATTTTGAACTACACAAGTAATATGCAAGATCAATTAAAATTGACAAATTTCTAGAAAAACGACAAATTTAAGTTAAATTTAATTTATATTAAAAAAAATATATTTTTTGAAAATTTCAAGTCTAAAATTTTAATATTCATCAAATAAATTAATATTTTTTATTTTTTTATTTTTTAATATAGATTAATTTTTTAGTAAAGAGTTGTTTTTCAATTGTTTACAATTAATGTAATTTAATAAATCTATTAAATATTTGAGATCATTTAATAAAGAAAATAAAAGTGTAAAAAAATAGGTTAAAAAATCACAATAAATCGAAATTGCCGTTTATTACTCAAGCAACTATTATCATTGTTATAAAGATTACGAAAAATCTTAAGTTACTGATTATTAATCATATTATATAGTTAATCATCATGTCAATTCGAAGGAAATGGTTTTAGATTATCGATTCAAATTTTGTACCAGTTCGAAAATGGTTATTGATATCTTCCAAGAGCATGAATTAAGTGAAACAAATCATCTTCTACTAAAGAATAGCTTTAATAATAAAAATCTAATTGTTTTGCAAAACAATTTTTGAGGCAATTCCGGTTCGTTCATCATTTATTGCATTAACGTTAAAAAAGTAACTAATTTCTGATTACTGATTTCCGATTTTTTTAACTTTTTTTTTTTGACTTTTAGATTAGACATTTTGTAAAATTTTATTATTTTTTACAATAAAAGTTGCATATTCATCATTTTATAATATATTTGCAAAGATAGGAGTTGCGCATTAAAATATCCAATCAAATTTTTACAAATGATAAATGCGCAAATTTTGCCTAGTCTAAAAATCAAAAAAAAATGTTTGAAGAAATCGGAAATAAATGATTATTTTTTTTTTTATTGCAATAATCATTTAGTTGGCTGAGTTGCCAAACTAATCGATTATTGCGGTTTGCAAAATTATGTGAAATTAGATCATTGAAAAAAAAGTAATCACTTATTTCCGATTACTGATTTCCGATTTCTTCAACGTTTTTTTGATTTTTAGACTAGACAAAATTTGCACATTTATTATTTTGTAAAAACTTTACGTATTATTTTTATAGAAATAAAAGTTGCATATTCATCATTTTGTAATATATTTGCAAAAATAGGTGTTGCAAATTAAAATATTCAATCAAATTTTTACAAATAAATGCGCAAATTTTGTAAAGTCTAAAAGTCAAAAGAAATCGGAAATCAGTAATCGGAAATCAGTGATTACTTTTTTTTTTTGCAAACCGCAATAATGCAATAATAATTTTAACCCAATTATTAATCGATTAACCAACTAATCGATTAATCGATTAGTTGTTTTTAATCGATTTTTAAAAAAGATTCAACCAATTAATCAATTACGTTTTTTTGCATCGACTAGTAATACATACCGGTACACGTGTGAAAGAAAAAAAGAAAACGCGAAATGCTTAAACATAATGCACTAATTAAAAATGACAGGAATACAATTTAACATATAGTAAATAAATAATAGTTTACATAGATCCTTTAAAGCTAATATCATAATCCTAAATTTCTATCTCCATGCTCTTGGTTTATGTATTTCTCGCAAATTTATCTCATGAGTTCTAATTAATAAGGTTTTACCCGAAGTGGTACAGATCTCGTGATATAGGTTCTTATTATCCAAAATTAACCAGTAAGTAAAAAAATAAAATGACGAATGAAATGAGAGTTTTTATTTACCCTCTAAACCCAGTACTTGTTTATTATAAATTTTACCTCCAAAAATTTATTTCTCAGTGTCATCTATTTTACACTACACCCCATTTCATTTTAATCTGATCTCATTTTAATCTGTCGCATTAAAATTTATATTAAGTTGGCCAAAAAATCAATCAGAATACTTTTTGTAGGCATGTTAATATGTTTTTTGTTATATGTGATAAATAGGGAAAAATCATAAAATGAAAGAATGCACCGTTATCACTCTAATAAAGCATTTTATAAATTTATTAGTTTCAGTATGGTATTTATATTCTTATATTCTAATTGAATTCCTGACAGATTTAATGTGATTTAATGTAAAGCGGATATTATTATTACAGAACTTAAAACCATTTACTACTACTTTGCTGAGGTAGTTGAGGCTGTTGAGCTTGTTGCTGTTGCTGCATTAGTTGTTGATTTAATTCACCAAATCGTTGCCCTACCCGTTCATTATGTTTTAAGAATTTATCGGCACAACGGTTAATACATGCTTCCTATAACAATTTGTTTTTTTTGATTCACATAGAAATTTTTTTTTCAAGAGGATAATTTTGTGAATGCCAGAAGTCAACAGTACTTCAGAACGAGTGACAAATTTGAAGATATAAAATTAGTTACCTTACCTCTTTTGAAGTTAAAGCTTTTGAAGTAAAGTCATTAACACAATCATCAAAACATCGTTCGACCAAACTCGTGTAAAATTTTAAAAAGTCTCGCATCTTGTTGAATTATTTGAAGCAGAATTCGTGAAATTATTGAATATGAATAACTACCAAGCTTACAATTAAAACTTTATACCTGCTTTTGTTCAATTATTCTCTGAATATGTTGCTTTTCAGCATCATTATACATTTGAAAATCCATTATTACTATTATTTTTTTTTTGATTTAAAATGAAAAATGATTTAGTGAAAAGATACAGAATATGTTTAAGGAATAAACATTACCGAAATAAATTACGAATTATATCTATGGATCTTATTGGTGGATCTTTTTTTTTTTATAGTTATCATCTGTTTCAGAAAAATAAATTGCTAATGCAAATATATAGTTTTTAAATAAAATGGCTAAAGTAGCTGCAAAAACAGTTAAGAACGTTCAAATAAAATGTATGGTCCCAGCCGCTAAAGCAACACCTTCGCCTCCTATAGGACCAGCTTTAGGTCAACGTGGTGTAAAAGCCATAGACTTTTGCAAACAATTTAATGAGCGTACTAAAGATTACGAGCCTGATACACCAATTCCAACAATCATAACAATAAAACCTGATCGTACCTTCTCGTTTGTTACAAAGTTACCACCTACAACATGGTTTTTAAAACGAGCAGCCAGAGTTGAGAAAGGAGCAAGTAAACCTGGTACAGAAATAGTCGGAAAAATTAGTTTGAAACATGTTTATGAAATTGCACTAATTAAACAGCAACAAGAAAATATGAGAGATCTTGAGCTGAAGGGCATTTGTAAAAGTATTATTGCTACATCTAAATCTGTTGGAATTCAGGTTATACCATGATATTGGTTGGATTGGTATCTGTAATCTGGTTGTACTAGTTGTACTGGGAAGCTGTAGAATGTAGTGTAATGTATGAGTTACATG